TAAAATACATAGAAGGAAATATAGGCGAAACACTACGGGATTTGCACATCAAAGACATCTTTACAGACACATCACCCAAAGCAGTGATAGTGAAGAGAAAGATCAACAGCTGGGACTACATCAAATTAAAGAGCTTCTGCACAGCAAAAGAGACAATAACAAAAACAAAGAGAAACCCCACCAACTGGGAGAACATTTTTGCACCCAACACTAATGATAAAGGACTGATCACAAAAATCTGCAAAGAGCTGATGAGACTCAGCAACAACAAAGAGAATAACCCAGTCAAAAAATGGGCAGAAGAGCTAAAAAGAAACTTCTCTGAAGAGCAAATGCAAATGGCCAACAGACATATGAAAAAATGTTCAATATCACTTGTAATCAGGGAAATGCAAATCAAAACTACCATGAGATACCATCTCACACCAGTGAGAATGGCACATATTAAAAAAACTAGCAACAACAAATGTTGGCGAGGGTGTGGAGAAAAAGGAACTCTTCTGCACTGTTGGTGGGAGTGCAAACTGGTCCAACCACTATGGAGAGCTGTGTGGAGATTTCTGGACCTACTAAACATAGAGCTTCCATAGGATCCAGCAATTCCACTCCTAGGTATTTACCCAAAGGACACAGAAACATCAATTCCAAAGAACACCTGCACCCCTATGTTTATAGCAGCACTGTTTACAATAGCTAAGCTATTGTAAAACTCCCCTCACAGAAATACCAGCTTAATGTTGAACCACGCATCTGGGTGCCCCATGGCCCAGTCAATTTGACACATAAAATTGACCGTCACAACATGGTAAATTGCTGCAGGGGACCTGATACCCCAGCCAGATAAGACACTGGCAAGCAGCTAAGAAAAAGGGCCTCACACCATGGGGCCGAAGTTAAAGGGCCTCACACGGTGGGGCTGAAGATCTAACATCCCTTTATTTTTTGTTCTTGGTCATAAAAAGATAAAAATTTCCGGAAAAGTACATTAGGCAATAAACTGTATGCATCAGTATACTGCAAATAAACAGCATGAAAAATTATCTGTTTAGAAATTAGTTATTAAACAATTTGGCCCACTTGACAATGGAGACAATTTATTGTACTTATCTGACAAGCAATCCAGCACAATTATAGTAGTCCTTCTTTGGCTTTTTTAGAAGTTTCTTTTTTAAAAAAGTTTCTTAGGAAAGTTTTAAAATGAAGTTAACTGTGTTAAGGAGTTTCTAGGTCAAAAAAGTTCTGATAGCTGAGTAGCAGCTGGTCTCTGGCTGAAGGCCGTATGAATAGAAGAGTCTTTTGATGCTTAGTCTTTAGCTGATAGGGATGTACTGGCAGCGATCCACTGTCTTAGGTAATTGTCTAGCTGAATAAGTTTTAGTGTTAGGTTTGATTTTTTATCTATTAACCTTGAAGGCTACCGTCTAGCTGAGACCTGTAGGAGCCAGTAGTCCATGGGAATAAAATACACTAATTGTTTCTACTTTGCACATGATGATGTAATTTTTCAGATTACTAAAAATGAATAAATAAAGACCTGCTGAGTCTCTTGGCAGAAGAGATTTGCACCCCATCCAGTATCAGTGTCTCCTCAATCCCCTTCCCTTTAGCCCCTAACGTGTCGCCTAGGCTGTCTCATCCTTTCAGGAACCCCTGACACGACATTTTGCCAGAGGCTAGTCCCCAGCAGTAAATGAAAAGATAGGGTAATCAAACTTCTGGATCCTAATTTCATAGAGCAGATGTGAATGCATTACATGTTCACATACAAAACACAGTATGGCACGTAGAGAGAAGGAAATAGAACAAAATGTTGGGCATCTGGTTTGTGAGACTACACATGATTTTTATTTTCTTCTTTCTTCCAAACTCCTCTAGTTTGAATGGGTCTCTGCCTTCTATTTGATCTTTTGTTTCCTCCTCTGTAAATGTCCAAACTCCAATTTCCTCTCTATTGTAAATCCGATGGTACACATAAAAAACTAGCACAGGGGCCCAGAACAGCAGATGTAAACCTCAGCGTCTGTCCTGTCCACCCCCTTAGGTCAAGGGGCAGAAGGAAAACACGCGTTTCTCATTTTCCCACAAATCACATGGCCAAGGCAAGGATCAGTCAGCCATTTCACAAGAATGAGCGCTGGGGAAGGAAGTGATTTACCCAGAACCCCAGCAAACTCTAGACCTCCAATTACCCTGAAGCTTCAAGAACAAATCCTGCTCTTCTCAGCTACACAAAGGCAGGAGAGTTGGTTCACCCCCTCCCTGCTGGCTTCCTCTGGCAAACTATCAAGTTAGCCCTTCCCCAAGATGTCCCTGATTCTCCACCCCCAGCTCCAACCCCCTCAGGCCCAGCCTACCCTGACTTCTAAGGAACCTCTGGTCTCCAGGTGGCTAATTTGGGGACACCTCTCTGGCCTCCTTAGATGCAGGAACAAATAACTCAAATAACCAACTCTATGGAGCCAAAGACGATTTCTGCAAGACTATTTACTACATGCTAGGCACACACAGGCACTACACCTGTGCTGACACTGAACGTACCCTACAGAACGATCTGAACACACCAGGCACACCTGTGTGTCCCTACCCAGACCCCTTATCCCAGACAGAAAAGTGCAGACTGCCCCCCACACACCCACACACTCACACACACACACACACACACACACACACACCAGGGCACACGCCTCTAGGCTCTCATTCAGAAGCCAAAGAAAACATCCTTGGACCCTGCTATGCTGGGAAATAACCCAGGAGGCCTTCCTTCCCAGACTCGTGAGATCACCAGGATGTTCCATTCTGACCATCCCCAGCTGACCTTAGCACTACAACCCAAATCCTGAATGAAAGAGCTTGGAGAGCAGTCTGGGGTCAGTACTCGCCTTACCTTCCTCTCTCCTTACAGTTTCTTTACACACAGCTCTCAATGCAAGTGTGCTCAAGCACCCCGGACCTGAAGGAGCCAAGAGCAGCATGAGGGTATAAGAGGAGGAAGTGGAGGCAGAGGTCTACCTTCCTTAGTTGTCTCAAATTCCACTCTGTTCCATTTCTCTAGATACAACTGTCCTTCACACTTTGGTGTGAATTGACTTGTTAGGTTACTTTCTTCAAAGAGGGGCTTTGCATGACACCCCTGGGCAGCCCGAATGAAATAGTAAGGCAGATTGGGGATGTGAAGGGAGGCAAGGGTGGCAAGGGAGGTCTGAAAAAGAACTTTCTCTGAGAATCAGGAGTGCTAACGGCAGGTGCTCTTGATTCGCCCTGCCCACCCACCCTTATCCAAAGGAGCAGCGACCCCAGTTTGCACCCATTCTCTACCATCTGCCCCACAATACAGACAAATCAAGTTAGGCACAATTCACATTTTGCCATTTTTAATGCTCAAAAGCTCTGTACAAAAAAAAAATCACAAATGAATCCTCACAACACCCCTGTGAGGTAGGCAGGCAAGTATTATTCTCCCATTTTACAGATGGGAAAACTGAGGCAGAGAGGGAAAGTGACCAGTCAGTGGTCCCAGCACAGCTGGAATGCAGGGCCAACCATGAGAACATGAAGGCTCCCTCCCAGGTCAGCCCTGGTCTCTGGCCCCTCATCCTTGTCTGCAAAGAAATGAAAACTTTTTAATACATGCAAAAATAAAAACAATACCAACAACAAATCTGAAAAGGTAGTGAACAGATGACACACAGTAGTTCTGCAAAAGAATTCAGACTAGATGGTCACACTCATCCCAAGACTCAGTAGATGTGAACAACCTCAGCCTCTTCGCCCCTTTCTAAACATCATGACCAGCAACGTCTCCACTTGCTTCTCTGCAGAAGATAGCCACAGAGCAACTTCCTAGTTCCCACAAGCCAGAGTTGGGGTGCAGTCCCCCACAGTTCAGGACCTGGGTTTTCACAGGCACAGGGCCCAGAGAAAGAGCTGCAAGGCTCAGCTCAATAACGCCTGCCACTCCCTCCTCTCCGGGGAGCCTCCCACTGATCACAAGAGCTGTTCCTGGTGCCTCGAACCTAACTCTCACGGTGCATGGCCTCTCTGTCCCTCTGCCCAGCATGAAAAGCAACTCATGGGTGCTCAGCAAGCATGGTCTGGAATCCAAGTGACCCCTAATCTGCCCTGTGCCCACACCCCAGTTTGTTGAGAGGCATCTGTCAATCCTTGGGGGTGCTGCTTTCAGAAGATGGAGGCGCAGAGCATTCTCAAGCTGGTGGGCAGGGAGGAGGCTCTCCAGTGGAGCCTGTCTCCCTCAGCACCTCCAGCCAGGATCCCACGCAAATCAAGCAGGCCTCTTCCACAGGATTTCACCCACCTTCTGGAAGCTCTTTCCTCCCCTGACAGGAATTTTTTGATGTTCCTGGCTCTGTGGAAACCTCCATAGCCGCCCCCCAGTACCAGGGAAGGGGGTGAGGAAAAGAAAGGAGAGGGAGGGGCCTCCAGCAGGCCATGCTGTTATCCTTACAGAAGTCTCCAACCCGGAGCCAGAGCCCGAGAGGCAAGAAAATTGGATAAAGCTGCCTTTAAAGTAACAATACTCGCCCCCCAAACTGCATTCACTCTGCAGGGAACCAGAGCCCAAAGGCAGTGCTCAGGTAGCAAAAGGGGAGAAGCCAAGGGGCACAGCAGTGAGGGACAGAAAGACAAGGAAACCACCCGCAGCCTGCCTGCCCTGCACCAGGGCCGTCAGCGCTGCTGTAAAAGGGGCCAGAGGAGGAGGGAAGTAGCCCGGAGCTTGGCTGGCAATTTGGGGTGTGACCTCCTTAACGGGCTAAGGCATCCCAGACAGCCCACCTGCAAGGCATGTGTGTGTGTGAGTGTCTCTCTCTCTCTCTCTTGCAGACTCACACACTCACACACACACACACACACGCACACACGCGCCCCTCTCCCGGGAGGCCATGTCATTTACAAGGTGTGACTGTGCCAACTGTCCCACAAAAAGCTCTTACATAGAAGTGGTCCCCACCCCAGTCCCTCTGGGGGGACTAGGAATTGCCTCCTCATGACCACCCCGGGAAGAGCACTGGGAACACCAGCCCGGGAGGAGGCAGGGGCAGGGGGAGCCCCTCCTGTAGGAAGTCCCCTGCTGTCCAGGCCTCGGGGCTGCGGCTCTGCTCCTGCCACTGGCAGAGCAGCCCAGAGAAGGGCAGGTCCTCCACGGGCTCCAGCTCAGGGAAGCCCAACTGGTTGAGGTTCTCGTAAACTCCGGCCTTCGATGCCACCTGGGAGGAAAGCAGAGAGGGGCCAGCGCTCCAGGTGAGGCAGGGTGACCTGAACGACAAGTGACCTCCCCCCTTCACCAGGGCAGCCTCTCCTGGCGGGCTCTGAACAAGACTGGGGCCTGTACCGCCACCCAGCAAAGCGACCTGATTGAGCTGACTTGTGTTAACTGCACTGAGCCTCACTTTCCTTCTAACAGGGATGTGGCTCTTCCTCCCGGGCCTCCCGAGGAGGCTCAGCACAGCATGCACTCACACAGTAAGGAAGTGGGGAGTCGCACGGGGGCCAAGCAAGGCTGTGTCAGCCAGACACTCACTCAACACTCAGGAGCACTGGCGCAGGGGCCCAGGGGGAGGGACAGGTTTGGCAGTGGGGAAGCAAGAGGCAGCAAGAGCCCCTTTAGTGTGAACTGTGGCCCAGGCTGGACCACTGTGGGCCTTTGCCCAGGGGTTAGCTGGCACCTCTCCACACCACCTTTTTGCCCAGCAGCCCAGGCTCTGGCACCAGACTCCAACCACCCACCAATCTGCCTCTTCTCCCCACCATCCTGGGAGTGGGTAGGACAAAGGCTTCACTCACAACAAAGGTCTCCAGGCAACCCTCACCCTCCACTCATGCCCAGGAAAGAGGGGATCAAGCACCCCATCCCCACCCATGGTTCCCCAGATTTTCATTCTCCAAGCAGAACCCCCCAAAAGTATCCTCATTCCCCTACCACCTCAACCACACAGGAGATCAAAGGGGAGGCTGAGCCTGGGCTGCTCAAAAAGGTGTTCCTGTCCCTCCATCAGGTCTCACTCACCCACCAACGATCACCCTGAAGGCTCATCTTCAGCACAACTGCCCAGTCGCCACCATCCCTGCCCCTGGACACTGCTGTGGCCTCCCTCGCAGCTCTGAACCCACTGGCAGCCGGGCCTAAGGCCCCTGCAGGTTCCCATCCTCATTCTGGCTGGGGTGTGCACCCCCTGCTGCCTGCCCCAGGGGAGATAATTCCAGCCTGGAGTCCAGGTTAGAACTGCCAGGACTGCGTGGTGAGGTCAGGAGGGCCAGCTTCCTGGTGGAGGGTAATTACAGGCCGCACTGCCGAGAACAGGAGGCCTCTCTCCTGACCTCTGGCTTAGGGGTGGAGGGGGCGGCTCTGCCTCCGAAAGCAGTGGCGGCCAAGCAGGAGAGTCAGAGGCTGAGCAGAGGGCAATGATCAAGAGGACCTTAAGGACGGTGTCTCAGGACAGACGTCGGGGGCTTTAGAACCAATCACCTGGCTCTCACACTGACGGTGAGCAAGGACTGACCTCTCTGCACTTGGTCACCCTGCAGAACAGGAGCAACAGTCGCCCCAAAGACAGTCTTGCTCAGCACAACCCAACACTGACCTCACGGAATCCCCCCAAAATCTTGTGAGGTCCCGCTATGGTATCAAAGTTATTTCCATTTAATGTTGAGGAGAGTAGGCTAGACCAATGCACTTGCCGAAGGTCACAGAGGGCAGTTGGCAGGAGCTGAGCCACCACACCAGCTTGCCCTGAGGGCCGGGCACAACAACCACAACAACCAGAGGCACCTGGCAGATGCGCACAGCAGGAGCCCAGCAGGCACAGTACCTGGGGGACCGCCAGGACCCCTCGCGCCTCCCCATGCACGCATTTACTCTTCAAGCTGAGATGACCATCCTGTCCCGCACAGACACGGTGCTGAGCCCCAAAGTGAGACAGGAGAAACGCCGGGCCACGTGGAAGTCTCAACAGCGGACGGGAATGACCCGGCCCCTCCTGCAGCCGCCCCTTGCGCCTCAGCCTCCCGCCTCCCACCTCCCGCATCCAGGTGCTGAACGGCCTCTGCCAGGACTGCGCCTTCTCCAGGTGGAGATGCGCGTTGAGAAGCACCAGGTGGACAGAGCGCTCCAGGTACTGCAGACTCCGCAGATGCAGTCTCCGGGCCTCCTGCTCCACCTGGGCTGCCTTTGCCTGGAGGACATACGGGAGTCAGTCTGGGGGTCACCCCACACATCGTGCATATACACACCACATACTCTCATGAAACTCTCACACATAAAACACACACACTCACATACACATGCCCCCACACACAGATACTCCATGTCACATGCACCCCCATTCACACACAGCGCACACAAACACTGCATGCACACTCATGTAAACCCTACACACACACACACACTCACTACTCACACACTCACACCCCCTGCTGTCCTCAGCACCAGGGCAGGGACAGAGGGTGGATTCAGATGGCAATGGGAGGGACCCTGCCCCATCCAGGTTACAGGAAAGGCCATTAGGTGTACTGGTGCGAGGAAGAAGCCACCTCCAACCTGGGAGGGTGGTCAGCCTCCCTGAACCCCTATTTCCTCGTGAAATTCTAACCACTGTTCCGTTCTGAAGGGAGACCAGACAAGGACAGGCTGCCAGCAGAAAGCTCCAGGCACACAACCTCCCTCATACCTGAGGGGTGAGGAGGGTCTGAGGGGCCCTGGACAGGATGCCCAGTTCTAACCACAAAGTTGGGGCCTTCTGACCAACTTTCTGTCACCCCAAGGACGAATATCTCCTTCCTCGTCCCCAACCCTCCCGGGACTAGAGGAAAGCCCAGGCCTCCAGGCGTGGGGGTGGTGAGAGCTCTGCTCCCTGGCCAGGAGGGGCCACACAGGGGTCTGCCAGGGTAGGCCATAGGGGTTCTGGCTGTGGACACAGCAGGAACCCTCACTTCTTCCTTGGCCTGGGATCTGTGGCCGCCAGCTGCTCTTTGCCTGGGAAGGGGGAGAAACCCAGCCTGCCCTCTGCCCCCACTGGTCCCTGACTGACCCCCTCGCCTGTTTCTCAGGTGGTTCAGGATTGGAGGTAGAAGGGTACAGGCAGCCCTCAGTGCCTCTCCAGGGCTGACAGATCACAGAAAAGCCACCAGGGTTAAGGTTCAGTGAGAGAAACAAGTTTTAACCAGGGGCCAACCCTCAGGAACCACTGAAGGTTTGTGGGTAGAAGTGACCTAATAAGTCTCATGAAAGACTAATGCTCAGGAGGAAGGGAACTTCAGGGGGTCCTCTCAAACTTCTCCCCAGCACAGAGGTCAGGAGCAGGCCAGCAGACAAGGCCAAGCACACACACAGTCGGCTCTTCCCTGCAGCATGTCCACACCACGCTTGACAGCGCTCTTCTAACACTCCAGGGTGCTGCCCACCGGAGGGAGCAGGAGGGTGAGCACTGTAGCTCACTTCGTACCTCCCAAGGCCACCCAGGGCCCACAGCAGTTCTCTCTTCTCCAGAAAGAAGTGGCCCAGGGGCTGTTCCCTCAGCAGCCAGGAACATCCGTGGAAAGGCACAGCCTGTCAGGCCTCTGGGAGTCAGGAGCTTCCAGAGCAGTCTCCCAACAACTGGGCCACAGCTGGAAGCCTCCCCACAAAGGCAGTCAGGCTACTGTGTGTCTGGAACACCATGGGAAGGCTCCTGGTGGGACCACCACTAACCCTGCATGTGACGCAGCCCACAGTCCCAAGAACGGGAGCTGGAGTGGGAGGCCTCCCATTCCTGCCTCCGGGGACTCAGGCTCCTAGGCTCCCCTGAGGGTGGGGTAACTCCACAGCCAGCCCACCCACATCATCCATAAGGAGCCCGGAGCCCTTGGGATTGGGTGGAAGGAGGGGTGAGGGACCCAGCCCAGTGCTCTGATGCCTGTGGAGAGGAAACGGGGCTCCGGTCCTAGTTCTCCCATTTAAGCTCTCGGCCCCCATGTTTCTGGAGGTAGGACGCCCACACAGTAGGAGAGAAAACACCTGGAACCATGAAGAGCCACATCAGCTCCTTCACGTCCGGAGCAGGAGGGAGGGACGGCGACATGAACACGCACAGGCCCACACACAGACCTCGGGGTCCGCTGGAGGAGGCCAAAGACAAGTGCAAAGTGGCTCATGAGATCCAGGAGGCAGGGAGCTGGCCAGAGAGGGCATCAAATGGAGGGCATATTGGGCATGGATTAGCATGAGAGAGGAGGCAGAGCGAGAGAGGCAGGTGGTGGTAGACAGGAAGAGGAAATTGTGGCAGAGGACGGAGGTGATGGCAGGAAGCTGGGCCTGCAGCGGGATGTGAAGCCAAGTCAAGCACTGACCCTACAGACCAAGGGGCCAGTGAAGGCTTCTCATAGATCTGAGGTCAGGAAGGGCTCTGTAGCTGGTGAAGGAAGATGACGGGATACAGGGGTAGGGGGCAAGATGCCTATTGTTTGGAGAATTTACCGAGCCAGTGTTCAAAAAACAGTGCAATTCTGTTTAGAAATTAGGCCAATCACCAAAAAGAAGGTTTTTACCTAAATACAAATTGTGTCCAATCCACGACCCCAATCAGGATGGATAGACACGCCACCCTGCACTAAGTATTCACCCACCCCAACCCCTTCTATGGCCTCCCCAACTCCGTTCAAAGGCTTTAAGTCTGTTTAAGACATTTTGTTAGAAAGAAGGAAAGGAAATAACCCTCAGCAAACTGGACAAAAGCCATTTTAAACCACTTTAAATTAAAGAGCTTGAAGAAAATCCTGTGGGCTTAAAATGCCCTCAGCTCTGGGTATGGCCTCTGGATACAGTGTCCCCTAGTGCCCCCGCTGCTGTGGGAGACTCCAGGGAGTGTTAACTCAGGAATCTTCAGGGTGGCGAGGTTGAGTGATTCTTTCAAGTCTGCTGGCAAGGCAGGGTGGTGTTATCTCTAAATTCAGATCCCGTAAAGGTGACACCTGACTCCCCCAAAAGGTTCCATGGGCCCATCCTGCCTGTTCACAGTCTGTGATTTGAGATGAGACATGACCCATCTCCTATCAAGGCTCTGTTTTCTTTAAAATCATCCATGTCAGGGCCTCCCTGGTGGCACAAGGGGTTAAGCACTGCACTGTGAAGCAATCCACAGCCTCTGCAGCATGAGTTCGGTCACCAGCCAGCCAAGGAGAAACCTACAGGGTGCAGTAGACCTCTCCTGTCTCTCTTGCTGCTCCCCTCAGCAGTGTATTTAGTCAGTCTGCCTGTTCTGTTCCCCACTCTGCCTCTGGTGGATCCTCTCACCCACTGCATATCTGGCCTATAACCCAGCTCTTTTATGCATAAATAAATAAATCTTATAAGAAAATAAATAAAATCATCCATGTCAGTGCTGGGGAGGAGGACAGGCCAGCCACCTCCGGTCCATGAAAACAGTGGAGCTGTTTTTAAATGGCCTGACCGACCAGGCTGTCATTAGCTGCGGCGGAGCAGGACAAAGCCTCCTAGTCCATGGGGACTGAGCCCTGAAATAGCAGGGGCCAGGGAAAGGTGGGCAGGCGCTGGGCATTTCTCAAGCCTGCGGTCGACCCTGCACCAACACAGGCCCCGTGTCACCGGCAGTGGCTCTTAAAGCTCTGCTCAGGGCTGGGCCACCAGGAACAGGCCCACTGAGCCAGGGCTGGGAGGCTTCCCAGATGTGTCGCTGCATGCCACCGGTGGGCTGGGCACATCACATCCAGATGCTTAGACGCCAGCACACTCTGTCAACAAGCCTGTGAATGGACACAGATATCGCACTTGCAGACAAGGCTCTGCAAGGTTAAGTAACTGCCCAAGGTCACAGGTTCCAAGCCCAGACACGAACTCCAAACTCTCAGCTCTTCCACCTCCCTAGCCCCTTCGCCTCAGTCAGGTTCAACTCCCAGCCTCACCCTTGCCAAGCACTTGTCCTCCCATCTTCCTCCTGCCTACAATGTCCTCCCCTCTGCCTGCTGGCCATGTTTAGTTTGTCCCTCAAGGTCAAAGGCAAGCCCACATCTCAGCACTGTAGCCCCACAGCCTGACCTCAGCCTCCCCTGCTTTCACGCTGAACCATTTCAGTAAATACCACATTGCATTCCATCCAGAGGATTTCTAATTGTTCCCAAGGTGTGATGGGTTCCCCCAAGACCACAAAAAGCTCAGAGGCAGGCCCCAGGTTATAACCAGACTTATATGTTGGCCTCAACCAGCACCCAGCATGTCCTTTGTCTTGCTGTGCAGCAGACCTGGTAGGTCAGGTCAGTGAGCACACGCTCCTGAGTCATCTCACCCTGTCTCATGCTTTCAATGTCATCTAGAATCTAGATTATTCTGGACAAGATACGGGGACAACCACAAACACACTCCACCTGCTTCTTCAAACAGGGCATCCCCATCCCTCCCTTCAAATACACCAGGCAGCTCCTACCTCAGCACCTTTGCACTGGCTGTTTCCACTGCCTCGAGCACTCTTCCCTAGACGTCAGTGTGGCGCCCTTCGCCTTCGTCAGGTCTGTATTCCCAGCTACCCTCTCAGGGCCCCTTTCTGACCAGACCCTATGCAGAACTGCAGCGCCTCCCCTCACAGACATATCAGTATCCCACACACCATTCCTGTGTCTCCCTCACTGGAGTGCAGGCTTCGTGTAGGCAGGGATTTTCAGGTCTGTTCAAAAAGCCCCTCCAGCACCTGGTGCAGTAGTAGGTGCACAGTGTTTGTCAAATCGATGAATCACTACCTTGTATGTCTCACATTTTCACAGCTCTGCATCAGACCACCTGTGGTTACCTAGAAGCAGAGGTCAAAGAGGTGGCCTGACCTGCGAGGGGCACATGGAGAGCTAGACATAGCACAAGCACCAGGAAAAAAGAGCCAACACCCTTCATTATAAACCCCCAGCCCCAATGTCCACAATGTCCAGCACCCAGAGCAGAGGGAGAAACAAGAGGCACAAGCCAGGCCAGGCTTAGGGTCAAGATAAGCCAGTCAACATCCCGTTACTGGAAACTTGCATGGCCTTGTGGCCTCTGCCCTCCTGCTATGCTGGGGTCCAGGCTGAGTGGGTAGCTCACTGCCCTCAAGGCTGATCAGTCTCCAGAGGGCAGGGTCTCAGAACGCAGGCTCCACATTTCTTAAAGTTCAATGTCACTGCTCTCCTGGGCAGACCTGGGCTCTCAAGTAAACAG